TTTTTGGTTTTCTGAGACAGGGTCTTGCTATGTAGTGCAGGTTAGCCTTGAACTCATTATGTAGCCCTGGGTGGTCATGAACTTAGGGCAGTCCTCCTGCCTCAGCCTCCTGAGAGTGCCAGGATTACAGGCACGTGCCACCATATCCAGCCAGATGCTTTTAAAAGTCAGCATGATACAACAGCAAGTTTTGAATTCTGTACTAAGTCAGACTTAGTTATAATTCAGGATAGTATTTGAACGGCTATTTTATTTTATTTTTTTGTCTTTTTCGTTTTTATCGGTACCAGGGATCGAACTCATGACTGCCTGCTTGCAAGGCAGGCGCTTATGCCACTGAGCTAAATCCCCAGCCCCCGCTATTTTACTTTTTTAAGGTAAAAATGTAATTGTTTCAGTAAAATCATAGCATAACAAAAGTAACAAAATCAGTAATTATATTGTGAGAGAGTAAATGTCTAAGCCCACATCAGAGCTAAAATATCAGTATTTTATTGATAAGCATGTTACTACAATTTGCATTTTATATTTTCGGTGATTATGTACAGAATATTTCCAGTATTACTGGTGATATAACACCAATGTTTCCCACCAGATTTTGTGCGGTGGGTGGCCTTCCTTAACAGTGCTGAGGGTTCACTGGTCTGAGTGTCTGGACAGTGCTGCACTCGTAGCCAGGCTGGGACCTGGACGGTCTCATCAGCAACCAATAAACAAATCTGGGCTTTGCGGGCATTGCTCCTTCCCATTGCAGCCCCTGGGCCTCGATGGTGCATGCCCTGGAGAAAGGCCAGCTGCTCCTCGGGGCCAGCACCTGTCCTCCCCGCTGCTTTTACATGTGCCTTAATAGGTGAATACTGAAACCCAGGCGTACCTGTTTGCTTAAGACTTATGAAGGGACATTATTAAATGAATCACCCACTGAATTTCTATTTGTGTAAATGGCTATTTTAAAACACAAGACTGAGCCAGAGTGGTGACATGTGCTTGTAATCCCAGCACTCAGGAGGTGGCAGCAGGAAGATCTCTGTAAATTCCCAGCTAGCCGGGTCTCCATATAGGAGTTCAGAGCAACGTGCACTCCATAGCAAGATACTGTGTCAACCTGCCCCTTTCAACCTCAAAGAGCACCACAAGACTGAAGCTACTATGGCATGTATGATGCTGGTTCTGCTTTTTGTCAGTTCATTGGAAGGATTAAAGTGGGAAAAGTACAGTATCAGTGCAAATTTCTATGTGACCATGATACTTAATTGAAAACAAAGTCAGATTATGAAGCCCAGCATGGTGGCACATGCCTATAATCCCAGCATTTGGGAGGCTGAGCCAGGAGGATCCCTGTGAGTTCAAGGCCAGCCTGGGTCACATGAGACCCTGTGTTAAAAAAAATCAGATTATGAAAACTGCGATTTCACACAGCATTCAAAGGTGGATTATGTACTATCTACAGATATTAAAAACCTAAATTTAAATGATTAGTTTTTTTGGTCTTTTTTGAGATAGAGTTTCACTATGCAATTCAGTCTGGCTTTGAACTCACTTTGTAGCCCAGGCTGGTCTTGAACTTGCAGCGACAGAACATGAGATTTTATGAACATTTGTATACTCTTTAGGCATGCAAATTATTTTATTGTTTTGTTTTTTGAGACAGGATTCACTATATGCTTCAGACTGGCCTTGAACTCTCACAGGGAAGCCCATGATAGCCTCAGACATCAATTCTCCTGCCCCAGGCTGCCAGGTGTTGGGTTTCCATCATACTTACCCTCTGTGTAAATTCTTTTTTTTTTTTGGTACTGGGGATTGAACTCATGACTATGTGTTTGCAAAGCAGGTGCTTATGCCACTGAGCTAAATCCCTGGCCTGTGTAAATTCTTAAAACCAAAAGTGCATAAAACATGAAGAAAAAATTATAGTCTGACGCTATCAAAATTAAGAATTTTTCTTTCTTTTTTTTTTTTTTTTTTTTTTGTCTTTTTTCATTTTTATCGGTACCAGGGATCGAACTCACGACTGCCTGCTTGCAAGGCAGGCTCTTATGCCGCTGAGCTAAATACCCAGCCCCAAAATTAAGAATTTTTCTGAGCCACAATCTCACCCTATAGTCCAGGCTGACCTTAAATTTACACCCCTGCTTCCTGGGTCTCCTGAGTGTTGGACTTGCAGGCGTGCACTGTCACGTTGGGCCTAAGAATTTTTTTCTTTAGCACTGGGGACTGAACCCAGGGCATTTGCACTGAGCTACATCCCCACCTACCCCCTCCTTTTATTGAGACTGGTTGTCACTAAATTGCCAAGGCTGAGCTCAAATTTTTCATCTTTTTGCCTCCAGAGTAGTGGGATTATAGGTGTGGACTGCTGCTCCTGGCTGTGGTCATTTATTTAAATTTAGGTTTCATTAATTTTTTTTTTTTTTTGAGGTAGGGTCTTGCGAGGTAGCCCAGGCTGTCCTGGAATTCATGACAATTCTCCTGCCTCAACCTCCCAAGTGCTGGGATTACAGGTGTGTGCTACCACCAGGAATTGAACTCAGGACCTCGTGCTTGCCAGGCAGGTGCTGTGCCACTGAGCTACATCCTGGGCCCTGCAGCTGGTTTCATTAAAATTTAAATGCAAATGGGACAGCAGGTGATGGCACACATTCATAGTTACAGCACTGTGGGGGGCTGAGACAAATTCAAACCCAGGCTGTTCAGTTTAGTGGCTTGGCTGATTCTGTCTCAGTAAGTGAGTAAAAAGAGCTCAGGGCATAGCTCAGGGTTAACGTCTTTTGTTCAGTCACCAGTACCAAGAATGACACATTTCTCTGCCACTCTGTCACATCTAAGCTTGATATCCACCATGACTAGAAATGAAGGGGAAAACAGAGTTAATATTTTAAGAGTTACATTTCTGAGGGGCCTAGCAGATTTGTCTTGTCTTCCAACAACAGCAGGTCCCTATTTCCCTTATCTAGCAGGCCAGGACCTGAATATGTTATTTCAAGCACGTAAGCTTGTGTCATTTTAAAATTGCCTTAGTATGCAACACAGATGATGCAGTTTCTCTTAGGCTCCTCAGTAATAGTAACATAAGATGTAACCAATCAGTAACAGCCCAATGCCCCACTTCTGCACTTCCCTATCACAAGCCCCTGTAAGCCACAAACTAGCAGAAATGGACACCTGATAGGTTTGCTCTGAAGTAGACTTGTGTTCTCTGAAAAGGGTTGTGGATGTCCTGTCCCCTGGGAACTGTGAATGCAACTTCATTCCACGTGGAAACTTCTGGGCATTGGAACATGGGGGTGGGAAGGTCCAGCAGGGAGCCCTGTGGCCCTGTACCCTGTGAGGCCCAGAACAGGGCACACAGGGCCCTGCTCATATGCAGAGGACTGAACATCTGTGGCTTGTCTTGGCTACCTATAGCAGTGATTAGGTTTGGGGCTCGGCAGGGCGGCCAGGATTCCAGTTTGGCGATGGAAATGGTTAGATGCCCCTGAGGGATTGCAATGGAAACAGCACCAGCTACAACAAATTCCTCTGCGCCTGGGTAGCCTGCTGCTGGCTCCTGCTAGTGTATTTTTTGTATTTTGTTTTTCTAAATTTTATGTTTATTTTAATTTAAAGACGGGGTTTCACTATGTAGTTCAGGCTGGCCTCAAACTCTTAGTGATCCTCTTGCCTCAGCTTCCTGAGTGCTGGGATTACAGGCGTGTGCCACCACATCTGGCTTTGTTAATTTTAGATGAGGAAATTGAAGAAAGGGAGGCTGCCTGGGGCATGTGGGTGTATGTGGTGTGTGATGCTGGGGGTCGACCCAGAGCCTGCACCTGTAGGACGAGCAGTTTACCACCAGCTGCAGCCTGGCGCATTAGCGATACCCTAACCCTAAGGCAGCACCAGTGACAGCAAGCACTTCACCCACTTCTCCTCCACGTGGGGAAAGCACAAGTGTGAGAACAAGGCCTGCAGAGCCTCCAATGTCACCTCCAGAGCGGGAGGAAGCCAGGAGGCGCCACAGGAGTGGGAGATCACCCACCTCCAGATGGGGCCCGACAGAGGAGCTGACCTGGGGGGTGGGGAGGGACAGGGACAGAGCCATGAGGGGGAAGGCAGCCGGAGAGGGGGAGGACAAGTCCGAGGCAGCCCCTGGAGGTTGTGGGTGAGGCTCAGAGGCTGCCCAGGTTGGGGAGGGGCCAGGTGCCCCTGGAAGACAGCAGGCCAGCACTGGGTGTCCACCTGGGGGGCATGATTTGTGGGAAGGATTGCGAGTTGCCCCCCCATGGAGGCGGCTTGCTTTTTCTCTAGGGGCTGGGTTGCCCCAAGCAGATTCCGGTTCTGAGAAGCCCGCCTGGATCAGCCCGAGTTCCTGGGAGGATCTGCTGCTGAGGTGCCTTGCACTGAGAGCCCCCACTTGTGCTTCCCTAACACACTGCACAGGTGGCCTATGTCTCCCTCCAACAGCTCAGAACCCAGAGCCGGCCCGCCCCAGCTGAGCTGCTGGACATGTCACGGCGCCCCCACTCCTGGGGATGAGTCACTGTCCCTGCTGCTCTGCCTGTACCCTGCACGCTGTAGCCTCAAGTCATCATCTCCAGGGTGTCTCAAGGACAGCCCAGGTAGGCAGAGGCCCAAGTGGGCTCAAGGGCAATGGGGACAGCGGTTCAGTGCAGACACCTTCAGGAGCACAGGCTCAAACTCTGCCCACCTGCTACACCACAGCACCTCCAGGCCAGGCCCTAGGCCCGGAGACGCCCCCTCCCAAGCCACCTAACTGCTGCCTGTCAGGAGCCAAGCCGATCACTGGGAGGGAGCTATTTCTAATTGCATCTAGAGCTGCCTCCCACCCCCACCAGCCCAGGAAGAGACTTTCCCAAGGTCAGGACGGAGAGACGCAAGGAGACGCCTGCCTGTCTATGGGACTGCAAGGATACAGGCCTGGTGTTTCTACCCCACCAGGGATCTTCCCTCCCCCACAGCCTTCTCACCCGTCCCAAATAAACACACGAGACCGTGTCTCTGGTCTGGGAATGATGGACATTTAGACACGGGTGCCACACCTGACCAGCGCCGCATGGGGAGTGGGCAGAGCGAGGACAGAGGTAGGGTGTAGGTGCTTCAGGGGCACAAGCCAGGGCTCAGGGCTTCCAGATGTGGGGGATCAGCCACAGGGACTAGGACTTGCCAGTGTGAAGTCCAGGTGGCAGCCCCAGGGCTCCCGGGAGTGGCAGGCTGCACTGCTCTGTGTCAGACGTTGCTAAGTGCTCAGGCCTGCAAGGAGTGGGCAGGCCAGCCTCTATCCCTGGTGGCTGGCAGCAGCACTGCTGGGGTCAGATCCTGGACTCCCAAACCAAGAGCTGGGAATGAGGGTGTGGACAGTGTGGCTGGTCGTGGAGTGGCCACTGAGGTTTCCTGGGTTGGTTGAGGCTCAGGAAACAGACCATAGATGGTCCAATTGAGCAAGAGAGGCAGCTCTCCTGCTCTCAGATTCCGATGCCGGCCTCCTAAATGTTCGCCCACTTCCCACAAAGATCCCAATGGAGGTGGAAAACTCAAAAGCAAAGGGGGAGCCAGCCTTCCTGCAGTGGGGGCATCACTGCTGGATGCAGCAGCTGGACTCTGGGCCTGGGGCCTGGCCTGCTAAATCACGGCTCTCAGCTTGTCCACACCCACGGAAGACAAGCCAAGCCTGCAGACCCTGCCCCAGGTGCCTACCAAGCTGGGACAGGGCGTGCCCAGGGGACTCAGTCAGAGCATGCAAAGGCCTCATCGTGGCAGAGCCCCTAGAATAGCAGAGGGGTGGTGCGTGGCTCTTGCAGCGGCTGAGATACTAAGGCACAAAGCTAACTTAAGCCCACTGGGGTAAGATGGGGAGAAAGACAAGCTCCAAGGAGTTGAGCCCCCAACCTTCAAAGCACAAGTGACCAAGCAATGGCCACAGCCGGTCTTCTGACAACTTGGCACAGGCAGTTCAAGGAGATGATCCAGGTGCCAACGGCTCTCGAAGAAAGGGGCTGTGGGTCCTGGCGGCCCCTACAAAGGCATTTGGAGAGTGGAGAGCGATCGGACTCGACTGGCTTGCCTGCCCAGCCCCAAGGGCCAGTGTGGAGCCTGAGTCTGGGAGGCAGACTCCCGGCCAGGAAGGTCTCCAGAGGATGCCAAGGTCCCTGCATGAGCCAGCCGACCCCACTCCCACCCCATGCATCTCCATCAGGTCCTCCGGGCATCTCCAAGAAGGGGCGGGGTGGGGAAAGACCAGGCTCAGCGCTTCAGGGTCCAGGGTCTCTGCGCCCAGAAGAGCGCTTCAGGCCTGCCTGCGCAGGCCAGGGCGCCGCGGCGCGGGGTGCATGAGGTTCTCGGTGATGTAGGCCACCAGCAGGCAGATGACCACCAGCATGACGCAGATGGAGCCGCCCACCGCCGTCATGGCCACCACGATCTCGCGCATGGCGGCCGGCTCGGCGGTGAACTCCACGCACTCGGCGGGCTCCGGGGCGGCGGCGGCGGGCTCAGCGCGCGGCGGCAGCGGCTGCAGGCACAGGCGATAGCGCACGCCGTCGTGCACGAAGGGCAGCAGGTAGTCGCGGCAGGCGGCGCCGAGCAGCACGCGCTCGCACGGGAAGCGCGTGTGGGCGCCGCGCCACGAGCAGTTGAGCGCGAAGGCGCGCGCGCGGCGCGGCGGCCCGGCCGGGCGGCGCCACTGCAGGAGCACGCTGCGGTTGCGCAGTACGCTGGCGCGCAGCGAGCCGCCGGCCGAGGCGCGCGCAGCGCAGTCGGGCGCCCGGCAGCGGAAGCCGCGCGCGGGGCTGCGGAAGCACAGGCGTCCGCCGCCCGCCTCGGGGCCCTCGGGCAGCACCTTGTAGGGGCACCAGGGCGCGTCGGCCGCGGGCTCCCAGCCGGGCGGCGTCGGGGCGGCCTTGGCGGCGGCGGGTGGCGCACAGGCGGCCAGGAGCAGCAGGAGCGGCGGGGCGCGCATCCTGCGACGGGCACGGGGCGGGCGCACGGGGCGCAGCGGTGGTCACGCTGCCCGCGCTCGCCCCGCGCCGCGCCCTCCGCCGCCGCCACTGCGGCCGCCGATCGGACCCGCCCCGCGCCCCACGCGCGCTCGGACCCGCGGCGAGGCGGAGCCGCCCGCGTTCCGCCTCCTTAACCCTCGCAGGCCCGGGCAGTGGAGACGGCGGGATCCCCTGGTGTCTCCGCGGACACCAGCCCAGACCCGCTGCCCGAGCCGAGCAGTGGGAGCCCCTGGCCTGAGTCCTGCGTGGGGACAGCCGTTCGCTCCACACGAGGGAGGGGCAGCCTCTGTGGGGACTGGCTTCTCCAGCGCAGATGGCCCCTGGACGGTTCGGGCTGGACGGAAAGCCCACCGGGTGCAATGCAGGGCAAGGAGGCCTGGTTGCAGGCGCTTCTCAGTCCTCAACCTGCGGTGTTGTACTCAGGACGCCCCTCCAGGGCCTGGGGACATCTCCGTGGGACTGTGACCTCCATAGAGACGAAGCCCAGGCCGAGTAGGGGATCCCTGCAAAGGGGCCACATTGTGCTGAACCGGAAGGCAGGCAAGGCAGGGTCTTTGCCCGCTGCTCTCTTCCAGAGACCTTACCTGGAGAGATGAGGTGGGCTGCAGGCTGCACGGAGTCCTTGGTCTCTGGCGAGGGAGCAGCCATACCCCTTCTACCCATGCCCTCAGAAACTCCTGGTCAACCTGGAAAACCCAAGTCAGCCCCAGACTAAAGGGACTTGGCCAAGTCTGGGGGCCCAGTCCCCGAGGTTTTTTTTTTTTTTTTTTTTTTTTTTTTTTTTTTTTGGTACCAGGATCGAACTCAGGACCTCATGCTTGCCAGGCAGGCGCTTGTACCACTGACCTAAACCCCCAACCCTTAGTCCCTAAGTTTTTAGAGCACCTTGACCCCATACCAGGTCTGTCCAGTTGGTGAGGACCCTTGGGCAGGAACTGTGGAGAGCTCGCCACCTAGTGGGGATTGGAGATACAGCTTTAGGGGGACACTGTCCTTGCCTCCCGGGCTCCCCGACCTGTCCCTTAGGCTCTGACTCCTGCCCCAGCTGTGAAGGGACCCAGGAGCTCCCCCAGGGAAACAGACAGTGACTGAGACTCCACGAAAGGCCCAGGCACCTGCAGGCCTGCTGCCCCTGGGCGCCAGTGGTGGCTGGAGCGGACTGAGGTGGTGGCATGGTGGCAGCATTCTGTGGCATGTCTGGTCCCCCTCAGCGGCCAGCCCACCTCAGGGGAGAAGAGTGAGACGGACCTAGGTGGCACTGCTAACAGAGGGGGCTGAGCAGGGGAAGCCTGGTCAGACCAGCTGGAGGGCTCCCAGGACATCCTCCTTGTGCCCTGAGCCTCTGCGGAAGCAGAAGGCTCTCCAGAGGGGTGGGGCTCCCGGCGTCCAGGGTGCAAGGTGTGACTGTAGCCATAGAGCTGGGGGCTAGGCTGGTCCCATACTCCCAGCCTCCGCCTTGTGCCTCCGTGCCCCGGGAGCCCGTGAGGCCCTCTGAGCGGACTCTGAACTGCGGTGAGGAGCCCACCCGTCCATGGCTGCAGGCCCTGCTGGCCTCATGCTGGACTCGGCTACAGCCCGCGGACACAGACTCGGCCCTGGGACTGCAGGGAACGAGGCGGCCAGTGAGGAAAGTTGGAGGCCACTGTGCCTGGGAGGAAAGCACTGCCCCTGGTCGCTTTGGGCATGGGGAGCTGCTGGAGGGCAGTACTGGCCCTAGCAGTGTAGGGGAGGAGGTAGCCTGGGATCCATGCAGCACCTTCCCTGGTGCCTGGGTGGGGGAGCTGCTGCACACAGAAGGTGTGTTTCACAGTGCCTCGCTGTTGCATTTAAGAATAGTTATTATTTAATTTATTTGTTTTGTTTTTTGTCTTTTGGAGACAAGGTCTCACTATATAGTTTAGGCTGGCCTTGAACTCCCTGTGTAGCTTAGGCTGGCTTGAACTTGCAGTGAGTGACCCTCCTGCCTCAGCCTCCTGAGTGCTGACATTATAGGCATGGGATACCATGCCTGATTCAAGAATGGCTCTTATTTTTTATTTTTTCAAATCCATTTTATTCAAACATAAAAAGAAAGTGAAAAAAACTACCAAAAATATTTATTTTTTTCAAATCCATTTCATTCAAACGTAAAAAGAAAAGGGAAAAAACTACAGAAAATTTTTATTTTTCAAAATTTTAAAATACATCAATTAGAGGGTGACAATGGTACATACATCACACATTATCCCCAAATCATTCACCCAGTGTACATCTGCCTTCAACTGTCCAAAGAACACCAGCACAAATCTTTCTCTTCAGTGAACTCAGAGAAATTAGTAGTATAACTATCTTAACTATTTTTATGTACATATAGATACACATATACATGTTTTTTCTTTCATTTTATCACTAATGAAACAATATGTTTACACGTGTGTTTTATTTATTTCACTATGTTCTCTCTCTCTCTTTTTTTAAAGCCTATAGCACCCGGTATTCCCAGGCGATCTCCCATCCAAATACTAACCAAGCCCGACCCTTCTTAGCTTCCAAGATCAGACGAGATCGGGCGCATTCAGGGTAGCATGGCTGTAGCACTGTTCTCAAGGTGCATCCATTTATGTATAAAAGTGTCTAGTTTATCATCCTTTATGGCTGAGTAGCACTTCATTATATGAAAATACCACATCTTTTTTATCCATTCCTCAGTTAAGGTTGTTTCCAAGGTCTGTCTATTATAACCTGTGCTGCTATAAACATAGATGCACATGTATCACTAGACGTGTAACTTGGTGGTATCGTGCTTGCTCAGCAAGGCCCTGGGTGCAATCCCCAGTACCTCAAAGATGCCATCAAGATGCCCTGCCACATCTCCATCTCAACCGGTGTCTGGGAGGAGCGCTGGCCCCAACCCCTACAGGCGCATATATCAAATGTGATATGATTTTTTAAATTCTTTTGGAAGATACTCAGAAGAGGAATAGCTGGGTCGAATGGAACCTCCAATTCTAGCTTCTTTTTTTTTTTTTTGTCTTTTTCATTTTTATCGGTACCAGGGATCGAACTCACAACTGCCTGCTTGTAAGGGAGGCACTTATGCCGCTGAGCTAAATCCCCAGCCCCCCAATTCTAGCTTTTTGAGAATCTCCACACTGATTTCCACAGTGGCGGCACCAGACTGCACTCCCACCAACAGTGGAGAAAGGTTCCTTTTTCTCCACAGCCCCTCTAGCATCGGTTAGTGGTTGATTTCTTGACACTAGCCATTCTTTCTGGGGAGGGCTGGGATCTGTGCTGTTTTAATTTGCATCTCTGGGATGACCGGGTTGGTGAACATTTTTTCCACATATTTATTTGCTGTTTGTATTTCTTCATCTGAGAAGTGTGTATTCATCTCAGATGCCCATTTTTGGATTTGATCTTTAAATCTCAGAGGACTGAGTTTTTTTAGTTCTGTTCTTGATAGTAATCCTTCATCTGAGGTACAGCTGGCAAACATTTTCTCCCATGTTGTGGTTTGTCTCTTCACTCTGTTGGTGGTTTCTCTTGCTGTGCAAAAGCTTTTTAGTAGAGTAAGATCCCAGTTGTTGATTCTTTGTGATAGTTCCTGAGCAATCTGGGTTTTGTTCATAAAGTCTTTGCCTACACAAATGTCGTCAAGAGTTTTACCTATGCTATCTTCCAGCAGATTCAATGTTTCTGTTTTAATATTAAGATCTTTGATCCATTCTGATTTTAGCTTAGTGCATGATGAAAGATGTAAGTCGTTTTAATCTTCAGCATGTGCAGAGCCAGTTTTTCCAGCACCATTTATTGAAGAGGCTATCTTTCTTCCAGTGAATGTGTTTGGCACCTTTGACAAAGATAAGGTGGCTTAGTGTGTCTGCAGTTTCTGCATCTAACTCCTGAATCCTTTAGCACTTCATAATAGATCCTCCAGGAGCACTGGTACTATGTTTAAAAACAGAGTTTTGGGCTGGGGATTTAGCTCAGTGGCATAAGTACCTGCCTGGCAAGTGTGCAGTTGCGAGTTTAATCCCTAGTACCATATATATATATATATATATATATATATATATATATATAGTTTTTATTTTATTAGTAAGTGTTTGCAATACAGAGTGATTACATGCATCGTGGGGAGTGGGGCTCTCAGTGTTTAACATGATAGTTTATGGCTGCAATGTAGCAAGACCGTTTTCTCTGGCATACAGAAAACCTTTGGCTTTAGGCAAGGTGAGTGTGCCTGTAGACAGGGCTCTGCAGGGTAAAGCAATGGGCCTTACTTCAAAGGTTTGTTTGGGTCCCCAGTCCTGCTGCTGGCTGTGCAGCTGCTACCCCCAGCTCCTGTCTACTGTCTGCAGAGCTGCTGTGCTTGTTGAATGGCTAAATATGCAGAATTCACCACTTGTCATTTTACAAACGTTGGGGCCCTGCGAGACAGGGAAAAAGGGAGAGCAGCTAGAACTTGCAAGGCCCAGTTCGGCTCAGCTGCGCCTCCTTCCTCCCTGGTCCGGCCCTGTCCGGGGCTCAGTGTCTTCCTGCGTGGACCTCTCCTTCCCTTTTCAGGCAGCATCAGCTCAGTCGTGATTTTAAAATGCCTTCTGCATTTTACCCAGAATTTTCATTGCTTCCAGGGGTTTTAAAAATTATCTACCTTAGCCGGGGTGGCATTGCACCCCTATAATCCCAAGCACTCCAGAGGCCGAGGCAGGAGGATCGCTGTGAGTTCGAGGCCACCTGGGACTACACTGTGAGTTCCAGGACAGTGTGAACTCCATACCGAGACGTTGAATCACCAAAACAACACACATTACCCGTCTGCCACGTTGCTGAAAAGGCCCAGGAATACACTGCCGTCCGGGTGTGTGGGAGCCGCCCCTCCGCTGCAGGGCGCTGAGTCCTGTCCCACCGCAGGCGGCGGGGCGCCTCAGTGCACCCGGGGCAGGGCTGTGCAGTCGGCCAGCGCGGGGCGCGCCCCTCGGGCCTGGCACCTGATGTGCGGGTGATAGGAAGACACGTGCACGCCCCGCCCGTGTGAGCCGCGCTCGGGTCCTGGACGAGCCTTGGTTTAATAATCTCTGCTGCG